AGAGCGCCCCCGGCTGGGGAGTCCCCCATGCCCCCCATCCGGGGTCCCGTTTATGGCCTCCCACCTGGGGAGACCTCCCCATACACTCACCTGGTCATGCAGGTTTTGTATCTCTACCTCTTTCTGTCTCAGCAGGTCTTGATCCAGTTGGGTCAGAGCCAAGACCCTTTTAGCATATTCGCCCTCCTCTTCCGACCCCCGGGCTGGGGTCTTCGGACCCCCAGGGGCAGCCTCAGAGACGGTCCTGGCCAGGGGCTAACCCAACACAAGAACAACAGCTTTGGCACTGAGATGCAGCCACCTCTGGGGTGCGGCGTGGGGGCTGTTTAGACAGGGACCCCCTCGCCCAGTGCTCAGAGGGGCAATTTCTAGGTTCCCAAAAGAGCAGTTTCTAGGTTCCCCAATGGTGGATCAATTCTGGGTAATTTCTATGGCCCCAAAGAAGGAGGGTTCCATGTCCATCATCCACTTTGGGGGTTCTAGGTACTTTGTGTATTGGTCAAGAAGGGGTTCTAGGTTCCTCAGCAACAATTGGGTTCTGGATGACTCCGACACCTCCGAAGAGGAGGTTCTTGGGTTCCCAACATTAGTTTGTTCTAGGTTCCTCAACAACCATTGGGTTCTGGGTGACTACGGCACCCCCAAAGAAGAGGTTCTTGGTTTCCCAACATTGGGTTTGTTCTAGGTTCCTCGGCATGGGGTGGGTTTCTGGGCAATGGCTAGGCTCACCAAAAGGGTGGGTTCTAGGTTTCCCAGCAGAAGACTCGTGCCGGTTTAAGGGAGGGGAACATACCCCAGCCCAGACAAGGATGTTCGGACCCCCCAAGAGCCCTTCTGCTCACCTTAGCAGGCCCCCCGTTCTGCTCCGGGCTCCCCTCGCCGCTCTGCTCAATCTCCAACTGCAGGGAGGCGATTGAGGCATCTGAGTCGTGGAGACGAATCTCATCCGCCATCTCCGTCACCCGGCGCTGGAGCCACCTGTTGGAGACTCGGAGCTCCTCTGCCTCGGCCCGGAGCTGCTGGGCCTGGGAGGGGACACAAGGAACGAAGGGTTAATACAGCCCCCCCACCGCCGCCGAGCCTCCCCGCCACACGGCGCCTCCTGGCCGTACCTGCAGCTCCTTCTCGTGCACCTCCCGGCGCAGCAGCAGCAGGTTTTCGTGCAGTGTCTCCACCAGCCCCTGCACGGCCTCCATCTCCTCCCGCAGCTGCCGGGTCTGACGCTCCAGCTCCTGCTTCCGCTCCTGCAGCATCAGGTTCTGGGGAGCGAGAGACGGGTCAGAACCGGCGCCCCCTGGAGGGGAAAGGCCCCAGGTCCCATTCTCCCCCATCCCGTCCCCCCAAGCCAGCCAGTCCCCGCCCTGGGGCCGGACCGGAGCCAGCGCCCTCTGGAGGGGAGCGTGCGTATCTCACCTCGGCCTGCAGGCTCTGGGTCCGGGCCGCGTGCTCGGCGCTGCTCATCCCCAGGGTGCGATTCTCAACCCGCAAGGCCATCAGCTCGTCCTGCAGCCGCTGCTCCAGCTGGGAGGCCTGGGGTGGGGGGGCCGGACAGATGGACAGACGTACGGGGGGGAGTGAGCTGGGGACGCAGCATCGGGGACCTGCCTGCACTGCGAGCTGGGAGGGATACAGGGGGCTCCCTGGGACCCGGCACTGGCCCTTTAAACCCACCCACTCGGGAAATTCTCCCCCTGCCCCCCCAACTCCTCCCCTCCCAGGATCCTGAACCGCTTAAGGGATTTCAGCCCAATAGGATCATGGGATACGGAGAGGATGTCCAGGCAGCCAGTACTACCCACTCCTCCCCTCCCCGCCCCGAGAACCCAGGAGGCCTGGCTCCCAGCCCCCCCGCCCCCACTCTAACCACTAGACTCCCCTCCCCTCCCAAGGAACCCAGGCGTCCTGGCTCCCAGCCCTGCCCCCTCTGCTCTGACCTCTAGGCCCCCCTCCTCTCCCAAGGAACCCAGGCATCCGGGCTGACCTGACTTAGCTGCTCGGCCAGACGCTGGTTCTGTTCTGAGAGCTCCTGCGCGACTTGGGAGCTCTCCCGGCTGGTGTCCTGCTGCTCCAGCCGCTGGTGGCCCAGCTGGGCTCGCAGGGCCGCCAGGTCCCCCTCCAGCTCCGCCCCCCGCGTCTCCCACTCGGCCACCTCCGACTCCAGCCGCCGGCGCAGCTCGTACTTCTCCTGCTCCAGCCTCTGGGGGGGGGGGAAGGGGTGAGACCAGCCCTGGGCAGCCCCCCCAGCTCTCCGCTCTGGAGGGGAACCGCCCCGTGCCCCATTCCCTGCCCCCCTGAGCCAGCCGGTCCCCCCAGACAGGAACCGCCCTGTGCCCCATTCCCTGCCCCCCTGAGCCAGCCGGTCCCCCCGGCCGGATTCGGGGCTGGCGCCCCCCAGACAGGAACTGCCCCGAGCCCCATTCCCTGCCCCCCTGAGCCAGCCGGTCCAAGCCCTGGGGTCACCCTGGGCTCCGGTACCGGCTGCGCCCCTGGGTGGTGCTGCTGGCCGGACCAGTCGGACCGGGTGCCGGGGGGCGTCGGCCCCAGCCAGGCAGGGAGGGGGGTAATTATGGGGCAGATGAGAACGAGAGCAGGGGAGTGAAACCGAGCAAAGGAGGGCGGGAGGGTGAGTCACGGGGGGGGGGGGGAGCGGAGGAGAGAAAGTCCCAGGGACCAGCCCCCCCCTGCAAGCCAGGAAGAGTGTGTGGTGATACCAGGTGGGGGTGGGGCTGGGAGCCTGGATGCCTGGGTTCTCTCCCCGCTCTAGGAGGGGAGTGGGTCTGGTGGGTGAGAGCAGGGGGGGCTGGGAGCCAGGACTCCTGGGTTCTCTCCCCGGTTCTAGGAGGGGAGTGGGGCTGGTGGGTGAGAGCAGGGGGGCCTGGGAGCCAGGACTCCTGGGTTCTCTCCCCGGTTCTAGGAGGGGAGTGGGGCTGGTGGGTGAGAGCAGGGGGGCCTGGGAGGCAGGGCTCCTGGGTTCCCTCCCCGGTTCTAGGAGGGGAGTGGGGCTGGT